AGAGAGAGAGAGAGAGAGAGAGAGAGAGAGAGAGAGAGAGAGAGAGAAGCGCCACCAGACCTGTAATTTTGTTCCTTGTTGCAGATGGAGATGTAAACTTTTCTTTATGCCTCAAGGTGGGCAGGTAGAAATCTGTAAACAGTGGCGTCCTTGTGGCACTTTCAGATAACACTTTTCACATGTAGTCAGCAAACACCTTTGTGGCTGCCAGAAATCAGCCTGAGAGTTGGACGGAGCATGGCAAGCGGGGTTTTCAGTTTTAACTTCTTGGGCTGAGGCTGCTACTGTGGGTCCTCCAAAAGCATCTTCTGATGTCCCATTTGCAGAACAGCATCCTTGAATCTATAATGGAGTTCTGCTTTTCTGATCTGAATGTATAACTTCAGGTTTGGCAAAACACCATCTATCAAGGGAGGACTTTTGCTTGCTCTACAATGTCCCTTCTGTAAGATGGCAAAACGAATTAGATTCTGGATTACTCTGGACAAGGGGGTGCTGGAAATCACCGGTTGGGGGGTTGACCTGACCATCCGAGCTGATGACTCCTGAAGCCACAGTGGAGAGCGCACCAGGTTTCCCGCTACGCCTTATCTCACCCGCACATGCCCTGGTAGATGAGATCATCTACGTGGGACTGATTTCATTTATAACACAGAGTAAAAAGTAGAAAATCTAACTGGCTGCCGCTTTCCTGGTCTTGGTTCAGGAGAGAGGGCTTTAATGCCAAACACAACATCCCAGAGCTTCGGTTCGTTGCAGATTCCCGTTTTGGATCCATTGAGTATTTCCCTGGTCACTGAATGGGTTCAGCCAACTGAAATTTGGGTGGAATTTTGGTCTACTGTAGGGGGCTCCATAAATCAGGGAGAAAACAAGGAACCTTGAGTATTTGCACGTTCCTTACTCTCAGAATCCCAAGGGAGAGAAGGAGCCAGGGAGCCAGGCCTTATTTGCTCTTATTTCTTCTGTCCCCTCTAGAGAAGAGATGGTTAGAAGCCTTGCTCCCTCCTTTTCTTTCTTTCTTTTTTTTTTCAAGTGGTGATTTCCCATCTAAAAGGAGCTAAGTACATTTGGCTCACTGCAGCCAAGGTCACAGAGTTCCCATTTTGTAAATTGCTCAAGGAATTGGGGCGGTGGGGGTGGCTACTTAATATTTTCAGGATCTCAAGTAACCCAGCAAATCGTTACCTTGAACGAATGCTTATTGAAGTCTATGTGTTTGACATTTAAAGTTTCTAACAGGTTTTATTTTTGCAGTTCCTGACCACCACGGCTTTAAGAATATCCTTGACCCAGGAGGGAGCCTCATTGCTTTAAGACTTGCCAGGTAAGGATCATCGCTTTGTAGCTTGTTGAAACTTGTGTCTGTCTGTGCGTCTATGGGGGAGTCCAGGCTGTCTTCTTTGGGTTTGTGCTGAGTAAAGAGTCTTCCTAGGTTCTCCCTTTTACTCTGAGGGTGGGGGGCCTGCAGAGAAACTTCCAGACTCCAAAGTCTCCGGGAGGGAGAAGGGGTTCCAGGTCTGCTGGGTGGGGTGAACATGCAGCACTAAGATGTGCTCCTGAGGCTCAGAAAGGGGCAAAGTCCTCCAAGGGCGACTTCTTTCTCTCTGGAGTGACACCCTGAGTCACTGCTCATTGACCAGCTGGTAACCTGGAGTCAGAGCTGGTGACCTGGTGAGGCTGCTGTAAGCCAGGTGACCCCATGTGAGCACCACCTGGGTGCCATCCTGTCCCCATCGCTCACCCTGTGATTTGGTGGGCTGGCCCAGCGCACCTCTGTGTTTATCATCTCGATCAGAGTCAAGATCACACACTCAGTGATGGAGCAGATTCCCGCCATAGAGGCCGATAACAGCTTAAAATCAAATGTGGCAGGAAGGGCCGGTGCGTGGACTTGATGCCTTCTGTGACCCCCTGTGAGGCTGCCCCTGATATCTCTGTAAACTCACCCTCAGATCTAATTAGTGGAGCCCACCTTCTCCTGACCATGCATCTCTGAGGTCACTCCATAAACCAGGGAAATTGATAGTGGAATTATGCACTCAGAAATTAATTTTATATTGTATTGAATATATTTTTTTTTTATTGTGACTTTATCTTGTTGGAAAAGTGCTTACTTCTGATTTTGTGGATATTACTGACCGAGGATTACTTTTATTTTGGTTTTTACACAACAGTTATATTAGAAATTTGCTGTTTTATTCTTACCTTCTTAGTAAAAATCCTTTTATCACACAATGGGTAATTTATATCCATTACCAGGCCTTTCAATCCTTTTCAGTGGGGCTGTCAGTGCCGTTGGCACAGTAATGATTAATGTGATCTAATAATAGTGTGCCATTATATTACCTTAGTAAAACATGTACCAACATCCTATTCGGATCTACCAAATTCATAGCTTCCTATAATATTTTTGTTGAAAGACAGGATTACTATTTTTCAAAGCTGATTTTTTCCCCTTTAACATATTTAATGAAATTCACAATTCTTTGCCTTAGTAATCCCAGGCATGTGATTGGGCTTGATGGGTGAATTCTACATTTGTAGGCACCATTGTGATTTGTCAAATAGAAGGTTTGACAGTCCCAGTGATCTGCCATGGAGATTATTTTGTTTTTGTTGGGCCAGGGTTATTTTGCCTTGAATTAAAAAAAAAAAAAAAAAAAAAAAAAAAAGCTGAGTTTCCAGTCCCTTCAGACTTGTAATAAAGAAGGTGCATTTTAGATCAAAAGGCAGAAGAGGAAGTAATTTGGCTCAAAGTTGCTTTTCTTTCCTCAATCTGTTTTGTCCTTTTTTCGGTCACCTGCCTCAGTTTGCTGGCACACAGGTGGGGTGGCAGAGACGCAGAAGCAGTGTCTTACCACTTTCCCAGCAATTTCTCCATCCGTACCTTCCCCTAGCTTTGGGCTAGCCTGTCCAGGTCTGACACAGGGTTTCTTCATCAGCATTGGCTCTATTGATATTTGGGGCTGGATAATTCTTTGGTGTGGGAAGCTGTCACATGTGTGGTAGGAGATTTAGCAACATCCCTGGCCTTTACCCATGAGAGGCCAGGGGCACACCCCTTTCCGCCCACTGAGACACCCAGTGCATCTCCAGGAATCCCCAAGTATCCCCTGGGGAGGGGATCCAATCAGCCCTTTTGAGAGAACCGTTGGTCTAAGGTGACACAGGCACAGCAGGCATGTTGGGGTGTTTGGGGTCTTCCCGTCACAGCTGCTGAGTTTCATGGTGTTTCTTGAACATCTTCGGCTTTGGGAGAGAGGGCGGGCGGATGACCGCACACACTGTTTCCTTTTCTTGGCTGATACACGGTCCTCTTCTTTCTCCCTCCTCTTCTGCCACAGAGCCTGGCCCCAGTAAGGTCCTGGATCTTCGCTTCTTCCACTTAAATCCCATTATAATCACGCTCATGATTGATAACATTCCACCTTTTCAAAGGGCTTTAAAATCTGTGTCAACCAAGGATGACATTATTGTAGAGCCAGAGAGATGTATTCAAACAATTACACACTCCAGTCAAAGTGGGGAGGTTTGTCCTTCTAGGGAGGGGGGCAGTGCTTTGTGATGTGGCTTTAGCCAGAGCCTCGGCCCCCGAACAGCCCCAGAAACCTTCAGCAAGAAAATAAATGGGAAGAAACAGGTTTTGCTCTTGATACCACTCAGCTCTGACAGCGGCTTGGATATTTGGGCTTCTTAGGGCTAGAGTGTTGGCAGCAGGGCAGGGAAGAGGGGGAGGAAGGTGTTGAGCAGGGCAGAGAAAAAGAGAAAGAGAGAGAGAGGGAGAGGGAGAGGGAGAGGGAGAGGGAGAGAGAGAGAGAGAGAGAGAGAGAGAGAGAGAGAGAGAGAGAGA